AGGGCCCTTGCCCTTGCCCTTGCCCTTGCCCGGGGGCGTTAGTCTGCGTGGGGGCTGTATGGAGGCCTGGGTTGCCAGCTGAGCAGCTTCTGGACTGCAGCCCTGGATGTGTTTAGTTAACGAACTCATGACCTGCAGCAACCAACGGTATCTCGGGTGTATCCGTCACCCCTGAAAGAGCGGGTGGTGGTCGCTTCTGATGCTGGCACTAAGCCACCCACGAAACCCTTTCTCCCTCAAGCCCCCGCCCCACGAGGGGTTAGCGAGGTCTCCTTGCAGGCCAGTGGCCTCCCCAAGCATCGTGCTGAGGCACTCGTCCCCCCGGGACGCTGGGGACAGCAGTATGAGTGCCCGTTCGGTGGTGACCGCAGGGTTGTGGCAGGACGCCCGGAGCACCCCAGGCTGGAGGGTCTGCCAGGACAACCCTGTCCATTGCGGAGAGGCAAGGAAAGGGGGTCACAGCAGGGACCGGGGCTGCTCTCTGCTCCCCAGCTGCTCGGCTCTGCTGGGGGCCCATGGGGAGGGAATCCCTGCACTGGGAAAAGGAGACCCGGGAGCTTCTCCCTCCCCAGTGCCCGAGGAGCACCAGGACTTACTTTCCCACCTTTCTGGCTTAGGGGAGCGCATGGTCCTGCAGGGTCAGGGGAGGCAGCAATGCAAGGGATAGCTTGGAAAGACGGCTCCCCAGGACCCTGCAGGGGTTTCCAATGATGCATCTGTGAGGTTCGCCTGGCTGCGCGTGTTGTCACTCGTGCCCGCGGCGGGGCCCTCTGAGACACCTGCTCTGAGACTCCTGCAGCTCCGAGATCCCCTCCTTCCTGCTCCAGCCCTTGCACGCCTCTGGCTGCCTGGTGTGCGGAGCTGTTCCCTGCAGGGCTTCTGCTGCACCCAGCCCCGTGCCTCGCTGGGACAGGGGAGGGCACGCCGACCTGGAAAAAGGGCTTCCAGGGGAGGGGAAAGAGCAGGGCTGCCCTTGCACACTACTGAGCGTGGCCTGGTAACATCCTGCCCCATGCGGCCGGGCAGAGCGGGCATGAGGTGTGCTCTGTGCGGTCAGGAGGTCCAGCTCCTCAACCTGCTCTGAGCCCTGCATGGTGGGTGCAGCTGGCACTATCCCCCTACGTCCCAGAGCAAGAGGCAGCACGGGGAGATGGTCCTGAGCCCTGCGAGAAACCCAGAGCATCCAGGACCCTGGGTCACCACTGGGCTAAACTGATTGCCCCTCGCTGGGATCTCCGTGCCTCCCAACATGGACACAGGCACAGCTGTGGGGCAGACAAGGGAGGGCACCAGAGCCCTAAGAGACGGCCCTGCCCAGGACCACCCGCGGGCACTATGTACAGGGGAAGCTACAGAGCCCGGGTCAGGCGTGGGGTGGCCGGTCCTGCGTACACATCTCCCCTAACGCGGGCCAGCCTGGAAACCCCTGGGCACCGAGCTGCCACCCCAGTCCTGAGACCCGGGTGCCAGAAGGCCAACCCGCGTCACGTCGCTTTGGGTCACAGGAGGCAAACGGCTTTGGCTAAACAAGACAAACGCCATTTGGTCCAACACGCGCCCCTCGGCAGCGAATCCAGCAGGCCGAAGCATGCTCGAAGCGGGGTGAGAAAGACTTAGAGCTGAGCCGTGGCTGCTCAAGCTGCCGGGTGACAGAGGAGAGGGAGGGCAGCGTTTGTGGGAATGGGAGTCAGCCCGGTCCCCAGCTTGGACGTCCGGTATCTTAGCGCGGCGCCGGAGGGAGGGAGGGAGGGCGAGACGCTGCGTGCGAGATGCCGAGCGCGTGCCTGGCGTCTGCTCCAGACGGATAGCTACGCCTCCCCTCCCGGCCTCCCCCCAGACCCAGGGGGAGCAGTGCGGGCCGGTCTTAGGCACGGCTCTGGGTGTGGCTGGGTGGGATCGGCCGCAGCGGCAGGGCAGAAATCTTGCAGCAGGCACCGGTCCTGGCCAAAGCGCAGGTGCATCCAGCCAGCGCCTCCGCAACATGTCCTTGCAGGTGGCAGCCCCATCGCGAAGGCTGAGCTGTGGGTGGCAGCAGGCGGGTGGGAGGGAGGGCGCGGGGGTGGGCAGCCCGAGTGCAGGAGCGACGTGCGGTGCCCGGGGCTCCTCATCCCCGCGCGCGCGGCTGCAAGTGCTCGGTGGAGTCGGACCTGCCTGCAGCGAGACGCAGGGAGCTGGCCGGCGCTCAGACCACGAAGTGGAGCCTGTAGGTCACCTGGTGGCCATTGTCCCAGGCGTAGAGGACCTTGTCCTTGGGGTTGTAGTCGATCTGCGTAGTGTAGGAGTACTCATTGCGGAAGGGCAGCTTGGGGTCGGCCTCGGTGTCCGTGAGGGTGTCGTACGCGTAGGAGATCTGCCCGTCCCTCTGGTTGTACACGTCCACGGCGTACAGGATGCCGCAGATGACAAAGCAGTTCCCGTAGGCGTTGCGCTTGAGGCCTGTCTTCCAGGTGGTCTCCCTCCTCACCGACAGGTCCCCGGGGTCGAGCTTGCTCAGGACGATCACCTCCTGCTGGGAGTAGTCGTAGTCCGCGGAGGGGTAGATGACCCACAGGCCGCTCTCGTCCACGGCGAAGTCGATGTCCGAGTGCCCCCTCCACTTCCAAGGCGTGGTGTCCTCGTACACCACGTCGTGCAGCAGTGCCCAGGCCGCCACGAAGCGCTGCTTCAGGTCGTACTTGATGATGTTCTTGGTGAAGGCACGGTTGTAGTAAAAGGCTCCCCGGTAAACCACGTGCCCCGTCCCGATCCAGTTGTACGGCAGCTTGTACAGGTTGCTCCAGCGGCCTGGCAGGAAACCGGGAGCCCGTTAATGCCCCAGGGCTGGGTGCTGGGAGCCCCTGTATCTCCCACGTCCTGCACCCAGCTGCCTCGCCTGCCTTTGTGCACACCTGAGGCTTCGCCCTGCTCCTGCCCTCCCCTGGACACCTGGGCTCCCAGGGCAAACTGTGTGGGTGCCTCTAACCCTGAGACCTGACAGGGGCCTCTGGCTGCCTGCAAAATGCCAGCGCAGGAA